CTTAATATTAATAAAGCATTATTGATTGTGGACACGTACGCGTGACATGATTCTTGACGCGCCAAACAAATGGGTACACATGCGCGTGACCCGTTTTAAGATAATTTCTTAACTAAAAGAGGTAAATACACAGAGGTTCTAAAACATGTAATTAAACAATTTCATTAAGCCAAGTAAGATTAAAGCGACCGTGCTAAAACCACGAAACCCAGGAATGCCTAACACCTTCTCCCGGTTTAATAGAATTCCTTACCTGGATTTCTATGTTTCGCGGACTGTAAAACAGAGTCAACTTCCTCGATTCGATATTTTAAACGGTGACTTGGGACACCATAAACTATCCCATGTGGCGACTCTGAATTTTAATAATTAATCCCGTTTCGATCATTGTCACTTTAATTGGAAAAACTCCCTTATACCCCTTCCGGGTAGAAAAAGAAGGTGTGACAGCTCTAGCGACTCTGCTGGGGAACGAACCCAGAATCTCTAGTTCAGGGTTCAAGAATTCGAGTTTTTAATAAGATTGTTACTTGGCTTCGTTTATTGTTGATATTACTGTTTTTGTGGACCTAATGTGCTAATTGGTGTTTATTTACCATCTCGCTATTATTTGAACTGTATTAAAATGCCTTCTTACGCCACCCTTTTGAATCTTCTAAAATATGGTGCACACGTACGCGTGGTCCACTTTCTGTAGAAGTCATACCAATTAGAACGAGGCTTAGGTCAGCAACAAGGCCGGGTAGACTTTCGTGCTCCCGGTACTTTGCCCCCACCTCGGCTCGAGCTGTCCGCTCGGGTAAGCCAGGTCTAGAACACAACCCCGGGTTTAAACCTAGAGTAACATAACCTCATGCCGGGTACCTAGTAGGCACATTTGTTTGCATCATGTGCATTTGACTTAGGGGACTCAACACAGGGGTTGGGTCCGTCTAGGACAGGTCTACCCAAAATAACAGACCATCCTGATGCATCTTACGCGCTATGTGAACATTTATTTTTTTCGGCTTGCATGTTGACCGGCTAGGAAGAGAAAATCAAGAGAAAAACCAAGTGATGTAGGAAGGAAGTAAAACCCGATTCTGGAAACCCCGGTACTTGAAAATGTCCCGAAACTCTGCCAAAATTTTTTAAAAAAAAGGAAGAAAAGAAGAAGAAAAGGAAAAAAGAGTCATGTTAAAACGAGTCATTCATGTTTTTTCAATTATGTCAAAACTGACCGAACTACGCAGGTCTGATTCTTACCGGCTGTGGGATACGTAGGCAACCTACATAGGGTTCAGCCTCATTTTTGCAAAAGTAACCAAATAAAATAAAGTGTAGTTAGGGCTCTGGTCAAAAGAATAAGCCGACCCAGCTTCGGTTATGTCTTAAGTCGTTCTTGACGAGATAGCCTTAGAGTATCTTTCAATTGTCGAAGGGCTATTTTTGTAAAGAACGGACAAGTTTGTCAGTAAGGTGTCGTTTTTCAAAGTATCTTTCCCCGGCCTCAAAATTTATTTGGAATTGTGAAGGGGCCACATTTACAAAAACAACCACTTTTGTTAAAAATAGTGTAGGGGGGTAGGGCCATTTTCCTTTGATTTTTTGTTTTTTCCTTTAGAATTTAAGAACTGGTTTTCGCAAGAAGTGTCCACCAGAGTCAACCCTAACCTTAACCATCCACAGGTACAAAATGAACACTGTCCAGAACCCGACACTATTGGTCATAGAACAGGCTCAGCTACATCTTCGAATATCTTGGTATGATTTAGATGAAGGTGGTCAGGATTGGGTGAAAGAGCATTTGAGTGCCCTTACGGACATTATGGAAATCAAACCACGGGAGGATTTAATCAAGGCCTTGGTAACTTTTTGGGATCCTGTGCACAACGTTTTTCGTTTCTTGAATTTGAGCTTACCCCTACTCTGGAGGAATAGCCGAATATATTCACTTTGGCCGTGACTTGAGAAAACAACAACTCATATTCCCAAGGGCCCCCTCTATGCACAAATGAAGAAGGCCCATGTGAACAAAGGATGTTGTTCCTTTCACTTCTTGTATTCCAGGTTTGGACACTCAGTTGGGTTCGAAACACACGAAAAGGAATTGAACAACAAATAAGATAAGAGCATTAGGCGAATTCATCATAGGTTCGCTTTCATAGTGGCGTTCTTGGGAATTATAGTCTTTCCAAATGCAGAAGGGACAATAGATACCCGCATGGCCAGAATTGCACAAATCCTCACTACAAAAAAAAAAAGATCACACACTTTCTCCTTTAGTGCTGGCAGATATTTATCGGGCATAGACATTGTGTAGATTCGGGGCTCAATTCTTTGAAGGTTGTAATGTTCTTCTGCAAATGTAGTTGATCGAGCATCTTCGCCATCACCCCAAATTCATGAGTTATGGCTCGAGCAAGGACAACTTCATCAAGAGTAATGAGGAAATGGTGAAAGACTACAATTCTCCAGAAGGGTTTGAAGCCTGGGTCTCCCACTTAAGAACTCTAAAAGCAAGTCAAATTGAATGGACTCTAGGATGGCTTCCAGTGACGGAAATCATACACTTGACGGCTACGAAAGTCTACCTAATGTTGATGGGTATGAGAAGTGTCCAGCCATACGCACCGTATAGGGTTTTAAGGCAGTTGGGAAGATATCAGGTGGTGCCCGAAGATGAAGATTTAACCACCCAAGTCATTGAGCTACACCCAGAAGCTACATTGCCCAAGGCTTTAGTCCAGCAGGATTGGAATGGTTGCCGATATCTGAAAAATGGCACCCAGGTACCAGATCTTGCGAGAGGGGAAGTGGATCCAGATTATGCCGTGTGGTTTGAGAGAATGTCTTGTGCAAGTAATGAGCCAGAGCCCGAGCCCGAGACCGAGAGACCCGCCAAGAGACCGCATGTTCAGGCTTGTATGATAAAGTCGGAAACGGTTAGGCCGTGGGAGGAAAAGGAGAAAAAAGTAATACAAGACTGCCATCTACACCCTGGAACGAAAAATTAAGGTAAACGTTAGAATTACTAANAGGAGAAAAAATATCAAGCTGCCATTCACACCCTGGAAGAAAAATTTAGGAACGTTGAATTCAATAATGATCTACAGGTGCAAGAAGCTAAAGGTGAAAGGATAAGGTTGGTCCAAGAAAATGAAGCCCTCCGAGCTCAGATTCAGAGGATGAAGATCGCCGCTGAAAGCCCGGCCAGAAGCAGACAAGATGAAAAACTCATAAACATTCTTAGACGAAAAATGTTTGATTATGGGGCTGACACGGAAAAGGCCGAAGAGGAATTGGCTAAAACCCGAGCAAGATTGGCAAAGAATGCAGAAGGGTGGGCAAAGTTTGTTCAATGGCTAAAGGAAAGGTATGACAGAGAAGTCACGTTCCTAAAAAAGAAGTTGACTACTCTTGAAAATGAGATGGCCCAGCAAACAAAGAATTTCAAAGCAGAAAGAGAGCATTGCTATGCACTAATTGGCAAACTGGAAGAAAGCAAGCAACAATTACAGGACCAAAACAACACAAAAACCCAAGTGTTGGAAGATCGGGCGCAACAAATAGGGCGTCTACTTCAGGAGAAAGGTGTTATCAGAACAAGGATTAAAGAAATAGTTGACTATGTCGTGATGAAGTGTCACGAATGTGAGGACATGACTAGGTCGATGATTTTTGCTTCCGTGATGACATTCATTCGCCAAGTGATGGCTGATTTGGACCGTCTTCTGCAGGATATTGCACAAAGGCCCGCGCAAAGACCGGATAATGTTCCGCAGGCTCCCAGGGCACCAGTGGAAGCTCTTATGTACTCCTGACTTTCTTTTTGGTTTTAAGTCTGTATTTCATTTTTTGAGTATGTTAGTTTTTTTTCCATTTTAGAGTCTGTATGTCAGAGTCCTTGTAATACAAAATCCAAAAAGATTTTATTTTAATAGAATATTGAAAACCCCAAAAAAATTTCTTTCTTTTATTTCATATTTATCCCCTGAACTACGTAATGATCTGATTCATGCGGTGTCATGATACGTAGGCAATCCCATAGGATTCGATCATAACCATAAAATGAAAGGAGAGGAAAGAAAATTGAGTTGAAAGAAAGAGTGGAAAAACAAGAGAACAAGAGAGAGTGCAAAACAAAAGGGAAGCGACAGGAACCAAGTGAGAGAATCAATAGTGATTAAAGAAAGGCATTCAGTGAAAGAAAAGAAAATGCAAAGTGAAAAGAGTTAGTTAAGGCCGGAATGAAGCATGCAACCGTTCAAATACACGATAGAAGCATTCAACTGTTTAGGTGCATGCATCCCAAACGTGCGATTGCCTATCTGTTAAACTCTTAAACACTAACAAGTTTGTTGTTGCTATTGAGTCCAGGAAGGTGGTTAGTTTGTTTGGCATTCTGGCAAGCCACCCATATAATACCAGGTCTAAACACAAGGCGATCATGGCTAGCAAAGAATTGGACGCAAGTGTTGTTGACCTACCGAGAGAGATGGTGGAATCTTAGTCTGGTTTGAAAGAAAAGGTTTATAAGATAAAACACCAAATGGCCGAAATGTACCAAACATGGATCAAGGGGCATCATCCACCGTCATACCCTGCCAACTACAGAAAACCCTGTTTTCGTCCCGCCACTATCTCAGTCCCAGGATCCCACTGTTGTTGATCTATCACCACAACCCGCACCAGGCTTCACTCCTTACCACCACTATCCCGACATCTCAACCCAAATTGTCCAAGCTCCCCCGGCCAAAGTAACCACATACCCTGCTCCACTAGCAACTCCTATTTTCGTAGCCCCGCCGCGAGCTACCCTCCATCGGTCTTCTAGTGAGCCGGCATTCCAAGCCCAGGATAACTAGTACTATGCCTCCTAGCCCACCTTCAAAGTCCCGGACCATTACTCTTACACTCCTTACCTTGAACTCCCTGTCGAAACTAAGAAGCCACCCAAAAACACGAAGCAAGAGGAGATATTTACGAAGGTAAAGAGTTTGGAGCAGTCGCTGAGAAATATGCAAGGGTTAGGTGGCCAAGTGAGTGCGGCATATAAAGATCTGTGTTTGTTTCCTGATGTCCAGCTACCTGCCGGATTCAAAATGCCCAAGTTTGACTTGTACGACGGGCATGGAGACCCCGTGGCCCACTTAAGAGGATGTTGCAGCAAAATGAGGGGTGCTGGTAGGAAAGATGAATTGTTGATGGCATATTTTAGTCAAAATTTTGAGTGGTGCAGCATTGGAGTGGTACAACCGCCCAGGACAACAGCAGGTGGTACACCTGGGATGACTTGGCCCAGGCTTTTACTCGGCATTTCTAGTACAACGTAGAGATTGTCCCAGGTCGCCTATCCTTGACTAAGTTAGAGAAAAAGCCCAGTGAGAGCTTCAGGGAGTATGGTTTCCGGTGGAGAGAACAGGCGGCACGAGTCAACCCTTCAATGGAGGAAGCTGAAATGGTAGAGTACTTTCTTCAGGCCTTGGAGCCTACTTACATTGGTCATGTGATCTCGGCCATAGGTAATTCTTTCAATGAAGTGATGAAGATGGGAGGAATGGTAGAGGAAGGACTCAAATCAAGCAAGATCATGAGTTACTCTGCCATCAAAGCAACTACACAAGCAATCCAGAATGGCACCGGGGGTGTGTTAGGGAAAAAGAAGAAAGAAGACGTTGCTATAGTCGTTTCAGGATCGTGGCATGGCCCAAGGGGTTCACCACACCATTACACCCAGCCTCGAACCCAACCTCAAATCTACACTCAAACTCCATATAATCCACCCCAACACTACTTCCCACCACAAAACCCTCAATATTCAGTCAGACCACCTCAATACCACTCCACCACGCACAGTTGTCATATGCTCAACCCCCTCCTTACCCGCAATGGCGTGCACCAGCTTCACAGAATCCTTATCCACCTCCACAAATATACCGAAACCCTACTGGTCCAAGCTTTCGACCCAAACCGGAGAATAGAAAGGAAAAGCTGCAGCGGAAGCAAATTTTCACCCCGCTTGGGGAGTCTTATAGCAGTTTGTTTCGGAAGTTGAGGCAGTTGGATGTTCTGAAGCCGATTAAGTCAAAATTACCAAATCCCCCTCCAAGGAACCTGGTTTATTCCCTCAGATGTGCATATTGTTCTGATGCTACGGGGCACGACAAAGAAAAGTGTTGGCATTTAAAAAGCGCCATCCAGTAGTTTATCGATACAAACCAAATTGTGGTCCAGAGCCCAGAAGCTCCAAACATCAATCAAAATCCATTGCCAGCCAATGCTGAAAAGCACATGGTTGAGATAGTGTATAAGGATGGGGAGCCCGAAAAGCCTTTGAAGTTTGTCATGATGATACGTGCCAGTGAAAGTAATTCAGTCAATACTCCAATTGTTACAAATGCAACATCTTTGACAACTGAAGGTCTGATGGACAAGCTAAGCCCGCCCAATGTTAAGCCGCCTGTATTAGTTGTGAAAGGGTTACGAGATGATTTTGAAGCAAAGCAAGGAAAGCCGAAAGTGGTTGTGCCGGGGGCAGCAAGTAATCATGTCATAATCGTGGAAGGGGCTCGCACCGGCCCTATTATTATTAAACCCGTGACCCAGCTACCGATAAATAACACCAACGCTGTTCCAGGGAAATACAAGCAAGTGATAGTAACCTATAAAGGGAAAGAAGTGGAAGAGGAAGTTAATGAAACCTAGGGGTTGACTCGTTCGGGGAGATGCTTTAGCCCAGAGGAATTAAGGAAAGCTAAGCCACTCAAAAATAATCCAATTCTAGTGAAGAAGCCAGTCACCGAAGAGGAGGCGGAAGAATTTTTGAGAAAAATGAAGGTGCAGGATTACTCCATCGTGGAACAGTTGAGGAAGACACCCGCTCAGATTTCTCTTCTATCACTGTTAATACATTCGGACGAGCACCATCGGGCCCTCATGAAGATTCTGAATAAAGCTCATGTCCCTGACAAGATCACAGTGAACCATTTGGAGAAGATTGCCAACAAGATATTCGAGGCAAACAGGATCACCTTCTCGGATGATGATCTGCCTTTGGAGGGTACGGAACACAATCGGGCTCTTTATCTCACAGTGAAATGCGAAGATTCTGTGGTCACGAGAGTGATAGTTAACAATGGCTCCAGTGCAAACATTTGCCCTCTCTCCACTCTGCACAAGTTGAAAATTGATACTGAAAGGATCCACAAGAACAGTATATGTGTCCGATGTTTTGACGGAGGGGGAAAAGATTCTATTGGCGATATCGTGCTCGAACTGACAATAGGACCAGTTCAATTTACCATGGAGTTCCTGGTACTAGATGTGGCCGTCTCCTACAATTTGCTGTTGGGCAGGCCCTGGATACATGTTGCCAAAGCAATCCCTTCTTCCTTGCACCAGATGGTAAAGTTCGAGTGGGACAGACAAGAGATTGTTCTGCATGGTGATGAGAACTTATGTGCTTACAATGATACATCCGCCCCGTTTATTGAGGCCGACGATGATAAGGGGCCTTGGGTCTACCAAGTTTCGGAAATAGTGCCAGTTGAGAAGATTTCGGAGGGAGAGTGTATTCTAGGTCCAAAGTTAGCCTCTGCATCCGTCATGGTAGCAACTGAAATGCTGAAGAATGGTTTTGTGTCGGGCAAAGGTCTGGGCGTATCTTTACAAGGTATCGTGCAGCCAGTGTCTCTATCTGAAAATCTGGGTACGTTTGGTCTGGGATTCAAGCCTACAGGGGACGAGGTGAAGAGGGCTAAAAGGTTGAAGAAGAAGGCATGGTCACTCCCTAAGCCTATCCCATGCCTTTCCAGGTCCTTCGTCAAGCCAGGGGTCAAGAAGCGCCCAGTGTCAGCAGTCCCAAAGCTTGTGGTTGACTTTGATGAAGAGCTGATTGAAAGGTTCCAGAGTCTATTTGATGAGATGAACATGGTGGGAACTGGGGAAGGTTCCAGCAAAGCAGATGTGCAGTTTATTGGGCCAAAAGTGAAGCTTAACAACTGGAAGGCTACTCCTCTCCCTATTCGGAAGGAGTTTTGGTAGTTTGCTTTGTTTTCCTTTCTGTTATCTGGGTTATTCTAGGGTTGTAATCCAGATTTTTATTTTTCGCTTTTTTTGATGTACAAACCCTTCTATCATTTATTTTCAATGAAATGCAATTTCCCTTTTTCCATTACTCCTGATAGTGTCATTTTTGTTTTTCTTTGTATAATTCTTTTTATGCTGGTTTCAATGACATGACATGCATGAGGAATTTTCGGCCAAGTCTTAAAAGCCTCTAAAATAATAATCCAAGAAGTAGAGTGTGATGATGAAAATGATGAGGAAGCGGCATTTGAGGAAATTAGTAAAGAACTAAATCATTTTGAAGAGAAACCCAAGCCTAATTTTGATGAAACTAAAGCAATCAATTTAGGAGATCCAGATAATGTCAGAGAAACCAAGATAAGCATACACCTGGAACCACAAATCAAGGAAGAAATAATCAAAGCACTATTTGAATATAAAGATATTTTTGCATGGTTGTATGATGACATGCCAGGTTTGAGTACTGACTTGGTAGTTCACAAATTGCCAACTGATCCGGCATTCCTTCCCGTCAAGCAGAAATTAAGGAAGTTCAAGACTAATATGAGTGTGACGATTAAAGAAGAAATCACAATGCAGCTTGATGCAAAAGTCATTCGAGTCACGTGGTATCCCACTTGGTAAGCTAATGTTGTGCATGTTCCAACAAAGGACGGTAAGACCAGGGTGTGCGTTGATTACCGTGATCTCAACAAGGCAAGTCCAAAAGATAACTTTCCATTGCCGAATATCCATATTCTGATTGATAATTGTGCCAAGCATGAGATTGGGTCTTTTGTGGATTGCTATGCGGGATATCACCAGATTTTGATGGATGAGGAAGATGCAAAAAAGATAGCGTTCATCACGCCCTGGGGAACATATTGCTACCGGGTAATGCTATTTGGTTTGAAAAACGCAGGGGCAACTTACATGAGGGCGATGACTACAATATTTCATGACATGATACACAAGAAAATTGGGTTATGTAGATGATGTGATCATAAAGTCAAGGAAGCAGTGCGACCATGTTGAGGACTTGAGAAAGTTTTTCCAGAGGCTCCGCAGGTACAACCTTAAGCTCAACCCTGCAAAATGTGCATTTGATGTCCCATCTGGGAAACTATTGGAATTCATAGTCAGTCGGTGAGGTATTGAGTTGGATCCGTCAAAGATTAAGGCCACCTAGGAATTGCCACCGCCAAAGAACAAGACTGAGGTGATGAGTTTGCTCGGGCGATTAAACTACATCAGCAGGTTTATCGCTCAACTCACAACAACTTGTGGGCCCATCTTTAAGTTTCTAAAGAAGGATGCCGCGGTCAAATGGACTGATGAGTGTCAGGAGGCATTTCACAAGATCAAGAGGTACTTGTCAAACCCACCTGTGCTAGTCCCGCTGGAAGCTGGGAGACCTTTAATTCTTTATTTGACAGTCTTGGACAATTCGTTTGGTTGTGTGTTGGGCCTACACGACATCACTAGCAAGAAGGAGCAAGCCATTTATTATCTCAGCAAGAAGTTCACTTCTTATGAGGTTAAGTATACTCTCCTTCAAAGGACATGTTGCGCTTTAACTTGGGTGGCACAAAAGTTGAAGCATTATTTGTCGTCCTACACTACTTACCTCACTTCTCGCATGGATCCTCTAAAGTATATCCTTCAGAAGCCTATGCCCACAGGAAGACTTGCAAAGTGGCAGATTTTGCACACAGAGTTTGACATCGTCTATGTGACTCGGAATGCGATGAAAGCCCAAGCCTTGGCCGATCATTTGGCCGAGAACCCGGTAGATGAAGAGTATGAGCCATTGAGGACCTATTTTCCTGATGAAGAGGTGATGCATATTGACAAGGCTGAGCAGGATGAAAAGCCAGGTTGGAAACTTTTCTTTGATGGGGCCGCTAACATGAAAGGTGTTTGAATAGGAGCTGTGCTCATTTCTAAAACAGGGCATCATTACCCTGTGACAACCCAGCTTCGTTTCTATTGTACCAACAACATGGCTGATCTATTGTACCAACAACATGGCTGAGTACGAGGCATGTATTTTGGGTTTGAGGTTAGCTGTAGACATGGGCGTTCAGGAAGTATTGGTTTTGGGAGATTCAAATCGGTTGGTGCACCAGATTCAAGGAGAATGGGAGACTCGAGATTTGAAGCTCATACCGCATCGATAATATCTGCATGACCTTTGTCAACGATTCAGATAAGTAGAGTTCAGGCATATTCCTAGGATCCATAATAAGGTTGCCGACGCCTTGGCTACTCTGGCGTTAATGTTACACCATCCAGATAAGGCTTATATTGACCTTCTGCATATTCAAGTTCGTGATCAGCATGCCTGTTGTAATGTGGTTGAGGAGGAACTTCATGGTGAACCTTGGTTCCATGATATCCGGGAGTACATCAAGATGGGGGTGTATCCGGTACAGGCCACATGTGATCAAAAGAGAACAATTCGACGCTTGGCTAGTGGGTTTTTCCTGAGTGGAGGAATCTTGTACAAGAGAACCCCAGATCATGGATTGCTGAGGTGCATAGATGCTAAACAAGCTTCGACCATCATGGACGAGGTGAATTCCAAAGTTTGCGGGCCGCATATGAGTGGATATGTTTTGGCAAAGAAAATTCTTCGAGCAGTTTATTACTGGCTCACCATGGAATGAGATTGCATCAGCTTCATGCGCAAATGTCGTCAATGCCAGGTACATGGTGATCTGATTAATTCTCCGCCATCGGAGTTGCATACAATGTCCGCACCTTGGCCCTTTGTTGCTTGGGGCATGGATATCATTGGACCAATTGAGCCGGTAGCGTCAAACGGGCATAGGTTTATTCTGGTGGCCATTAATTCTTTCACCAAGTGGGTCGAAGCTGTAATTCTCAATTATGTGACCAAGAAAGAAGTGGTAAATTTTGTTCACTCAAATCTTATTTGCCGGTTCGGAATCCCTAAGGTAATCATCACAGATATGCTGCAAATCTCAACAGCCATCTGATGAAAGAGGTATGCCAACAGTTCAAGATTATGCATCGAAATTCCACCCTGTATTGGCCCAAGGCAAATGGAGTTGTTGAGGCGGCCAACAAGAACATAAAGAAGATACTTCGAAAAATGGTGCAAGGTTCTAGGCAGTGGCATGAAAAGTTGCCTTTTGCTTTGCTGGGTTATTGCACTACTGTTCGCAATGCAGTAGGTGCAACTCCTTATTTGCTGGTATATGGGACTGAAGCAGTTATACCTGCGGAAGTTGAGATTCCATCCCTTCGGATTATCGCTGAAGCTGAAATTGATGACGATGAGTGGGTCAAAACCCGATTGGATCAGTTAAGTCTGATTGATGAGAAAAGACTGGCGGCGGTATATCACGGTCAATTGTATCAAAAGAGAATGGCAAGAGCAAACAACAAGAAGGTGCGTCCCCGGAAATTTGAAGTGGGTCAGCACGTATTGAAACACATCCTTCCACATCAAGCTGAAGCTAAAGGAAAGTTCGCCCCAAACTGGCAGGGGCCGTTCATTATAACAAGAGTGTTGCCCAATGGTGCTTTATATTTAACAAATGTAGAAGGCAAATGTGTAGATATGGGTGTCAATTCTGATGCAGTCAAGAGATATTATGTATGATTTCTTT